GGGTTGGGCCGAATGCTCACTCGAAACCTGCAACACTACCAAACACTGCCTAACATCTGGCACGCCGTGCACCCTGTAGCAAGCCACAAGGGGCGGCGGGCCTAGTGGCCTTCGGCCCAATCCACCACCGTACCTGGGTTGTGGGACGATATCTCTCGAGGGGTTCGACTATCGAAGCGAGGGTCTTGCCTGGAGTCCTGAGCGCAAGCTCTGACGCCTGCTCCGCTCCTCCTCCAACCACTGCTGCTGCCTGGTCGACCTGTGATTGGGCGGCGGATATGGAACGCTAGCCGGCCCAGCGGCGGCGGAAGCAAGAACGTGTGTGGCCTGACGATTGAAATTCTGCTGCAGGCAGACACGATGGGGGAGGGGAGATCACTTTTTAGCCCCGCCCCGATGCCCCTGCATTGCCGTAGTCGTTGTGCACCCGCCGCCCATTCCTGGCGAAGGCGACTTACCTTTCCTAGCCACTTCTGATCTACACGGGTGGGGTGTAGAAACTTCAGCCCTGTGTACATACCGTAAATACACATCCAATAGCCCGTGCAAGAGCGTCGAAGTATCTGTTGGATTTGCGCTGCACGTTCCAATCGCACATATATTCTGTCTGAAGCCGGTCTGGCGTGCGGTTCGCATTTGTAGGATGCCCATCGCGGGCCTGTATTCCAAAGCTTGTGGGCCGAGATTGCCACTGCCTTGCAGGGTGGGCCAGGCGTCCCTCCTCCTGGCCTCCGCTCGCAGCTGCCTGTCGGCTGAAGGGCATCGGAGGAGCACACCTTAGAAGATCGCAGGAGAGGGAGGAGGAGGAGGAGGAGGAGGAGGAGGAGGAGGAGGAGGAGGAGGAGGAGGAGGAGGAGGAGGAGGAGGAGGAGGAGGAGGAGGAGGAGGAGGAGGAGGAGGAGGAGGAGGAGGAGGAGATCACTGTGCTCCCGGTCGGTGCGGGGAGCCCCGCTGGAAGGCAACGCCTCCACGAAACGAGGTACCTGCTCGGTTTCGGGTGGAAGCCCATGCGCCGAATGGTGTATGCCACAATGAGATTGGCATGCACCCGCGTAGCAGGTAGAAGCCTTGCGACAAACGTGCGTGGCGCTGGAGACAGAGCCCGTTTCCGAAACATGATCGCGCAACTACTGGAAATCCCAAGTAGTTCGAGCATCGAACACGAAGTCATATAATGCGAAACCTCACTGCTTGAAAATACCCCGGCTTACGTCTGAGAAGCGACGGGGAGTTTGCTGTCAATGTGTAAGGGAGCTCCAAGCGAAAATCTGCTGTTGACTTGAAAAAGAACCACACTAGATCAGTGCCGCGACTGGAAACCTCCAACTAGAGAGAGGGAGAGAGAGAGAGAGAGAGACAAGAAGAGAGAAAGAGAGAGAGAGAGAGAGAAAGGGAGACATATAGAGAGAGAGAGAGACAGAGAAAACAAACACAAAGAAAGAAGGACGATAACACAGCATGGTGTCCCCGAATCCCTTGCCCAACCCCTGAGCCTCACTCCACAATCCTGACGATTCTTTAAAGGGCCTAGCCCTGGCTCTCGCACTTTCTTGGAATCCTGGCGTGCCCCCCCGCGGCTCCCGGCGTGCTTAGGCCCGTCGCGTCTTCCCGCCTGGCTCTTCCGGGCCGAAGAAGGCTCCAAGACGGGGCAAGAGGGCCACACGAGGCCCCGAAGACGGTCCAAGAGGGCCCCGAATCGCCGCACGACAGGTCCACGACGCCCCAAGATGGCCCCCAAGGGGCCCAAGAAGACCCCGAGACGCCCAAAGAGAGCCCTTAAAGCAACCCCAGGAGGGCACGGAGGGGCCAAAGTCATGCATGTCTCCTTCCGTGTTTCAATGTTTGTCTGGTTCTTCACTTTTCGAGCTTCCGACGCTCCGAGAAGTCCCAAGAGGCCGCGAGTCTCGCCCTGAGACGGCTTCAGAGGCCCCCAAGACGGACACGAACCAAGCATTCGAGCCTTCCGCCCCAAGATGCGCCCAGGAGGCCCCAAGAGGCTGCCCCAAAACCCCAGGCGGCCAACAAGAGGCCAGGACGAGGCCCCAAGAGGCCCAAGGAGGCCCCAAAACGGCCCCCAAAGGTCTCAAACCTGCCTCCAGGAAGCACCCGATCAGACCCACAACCCAGGCACGGTGGCGGGATGGGCCGAAGGCCAATCGATTCCCCAAACAGCGCTTGCACTTATGAGGTGAGGCAACAGTGCTTGCAGTTAAGAATTCTTGCTCGTGTTTTGAAGAACTGGGCCTGCCTGGCGGTCTAGCGGTTCCGTGGTCGCCGTCGCCGCCCCGTTACCGCGTCGTCGCCGCCCGTCGTTTGGGCCTGGCTGGCGGTCTGGCGGCTCCATGGTCGCCGTCGCCGCCCCATCGCCGCCCGTCGTCTGGGCCTGGTTGGCGGTCTGGCGGCTATGGGGTCGCCGTCGCCGCCCTGTTTCCGCTAAAATTACATGACGTATGTTGCACCGCGTAGATTGCACCATGCAAATTGCGCCAGTACGTTACATACATTGCACAAACATACATGTAATATATGTTATATATATAAACAAGGCTGCATTGGCGCTTCGCGCCATGCGCCTTGTTCCGGACGCTTCCATGGCAACGCAATAAATCATCGCTTTCTTCAGCAAGGAGGACCTCGAGGCCTGGACGGGCGACCCGCCCATTTATCCGATATCCCGGGTGCCTGCTGACACCGATTTCGGACGATGCGCTGGCACGCTTGTGCGCAGGAGTGGGGAAATCATGCTGATTTTTTCGCGCGCGAAGGTCCTTTGAGGAAGTGAGGAGCGTTCCAATGACACGCCGAAGAAGTCACAGTAGCTTCGAACACATCGATTTTTGATCGCTTCCCGAATACCTGGAGGGCTCCAGGCACTCAGGAAATCTTCGATCGTCGAATTTCGAATCTAGATCCATTGCCTGTCTCTCTCGATCGGGTAGCTACTGAAACCTCGAGCTTCAAACGTGGAACCAAGATCGTCGGGTCAGCTTGATGTATTTCGTAGGAGAACGCCGTCTGGTCGTGTTTGGTGCTCTTGTGTGCCGTCCTGGGGCACTCTTGGGCCGTCCTGGGGGCTTCTTGGGCCGCCTTGGGGAGCTGGGCCCTCCAGAGGTCTTCTGAAGCCATCTAGGGCCCTCTTGCGGGCCTCCAGTGGCGTTCTTGTAGGTATCCCATGGCTTTCGTGGGTCTCTCTTGGGAGCCTTCTGGGGGCATCTTGGGCTTCTTGTGGGCAGTCTCGGGGCTCTCTGGGGCAGTCTTGGGGCCTCCTTGGGCCGCCTTCAACCCCTCTAGGGGGCCTCCCGGGCCGTCTTGGGGCGAGATTGGGGGCCCATTGGGCCGTCTTGGACGCTGCGAAGACCCAAAAAGCGGATATGCACAACAAATGTGTTTCCTGAGGGAATGTGACGATTTTGGCTTCTTCGGGGCTCTCTTAACGGCCTCTTGGGGTGTCTTGGGGGCCTCTTGGGCCGTCTTCAGACCATCGAGGTTCCTCTTGGAGCGCTCTTGCGCTGTCTTGGGTCTCTCTTGCGCCTCTCTGACGGCCCCTCTAATCGCCTTCAGTCGGCTCGCAAGGCCCAGCGAGGCGCCCTGGGAGGCCCAGAAGGGCCACCGAACCTTTTCCAAGGGCGTCCAGGGGGCCGCCGAAACGCCCGAAAGGGCGTCCGGAGCGTCCCTGGGGGAAGGATCCGGTTTAGGGGGGTGGGTCCGGGGGGTGGGTGGGTGGGGGGTCCGGATAATAAACATATCAGAATAGGATTATATATATGTATGTATGTATGTATGTATGTATGTATGTATGTATGTATGTATGTATGTATGTATGTATGTATTGAACTACATAAGCTGCGCCCCTTAGAACCCCACACATTGAACAACAGAAAGTGTACATCATCAATACACCACGTAGATAGCACCGCGTATCTTGCACACCAACAATATAATCATATGCGCTGCACCATGCCAACTGCACCACATGGATTGCGCCACGTGGGTTGCACAACATACCCTGCACAACGTGGAACGGGCCAGAAATATGGCGCCGCAGACTTTGCGCCATGTAGGTTGCACAACTCAACTTCTCCAATCTGGAAAACTACAACCCCGTCCCCTTCGGGACTTATCGGGTAACCTTGGGGCTATACGCTTTACGCATAATTATACCCCATCGTTCGTTCTAGACATGTAGTTAAACCAATGTCGGCCCCCCGCTCTCTTTCATAGATTAATAGCTGCGTTCGCTCGCTAATCAAAACGCATGAATTTTCAAAACGCAGCTTTTCGCAACCACAAACAGTTCACACGCGCGCGTCGTCGCGCGCGCATGCCAGGATCATTCCAAAACCGAAAGTTGCGTATAATTCTGAAATCGCAGGTCCAGAAAGTATGTAACACTCATCGCTTTGCAACTGTTGAACAAATTCGGCAAGCGCCCTTGCGATTTCTTGGGCAAGCTGTCTTTTCATTTGAGTGCAAAACAAACATGTTCGCCAAATGCGATCAAATGTATATTTCTCGCACGCGCGTGTCGAAATCGTTTGGAGGATCAAGCGAGCGTGCTAGGGGGGAATACGACCCCTGTTAAACAACACCACGCGGGCCAGTCGCGCGCGTCGGCCGCGCGCGCATGTCGAGGTTTTTCCGCAACTTTCATCGCCGACGCGTGGACACCATCACTATCATCGGCGTGATCAACATCGGCGTAGTCATCGGCCTTGCCGTCGTCGTTGTCATCACCGCCACCAACTTCGCCATTAGCACCATCGGGTCTGCCGTTGTCGACGTCGCCATCATGCTGCGCCCGTCCGAGACACCGACTCGCACTGCAGTGCCCGCGCGTAAGCGAAACCAACGAGACGCGCTGGGAAGTGCCCAGCGGTCAGCGGCACCGCGGCCGCGCCGGTCGCGCCAGACAGGCCGGCCGCTCTGCGCGCGAGCCTGCGCGCGCTAGCGCGGCCGCAGCGACGTGCCAGGCAGCGCCTTCCAGAGGCGCCCGAGGCGACCTCTGATCCACCCCTCCCCCGTGGAGTAGCTCTGGCGTGAATTCACGGGGCCCAGGGCGGCGACCTGATCCACCCATTCCGTGGAATAACTCCGGAGTGAACTCACGGGGCCCAGGGCGGCGCCCTGATCCACCCCTCCCCCGTGGATTAACTCCGAAGTTAACTCACGGGGCCCAGGGCGACGCCCTGATCCACGCCTCCCCCGTGGATTAACTCTGGAAATAATCCAAGGGGAGGAGACTGGACCGTGGATCCGCTTCCCTGTCTGTGGATTAAGTCCCGAGTTAATTGACAAGGGAGCCGGTAGCAGGATCCACTTTGACATGGGTGAACTCCAGAATCAATCTTCAATGAACTACTGGCTTCAACCCTTTCGGAGGAGAAGGAGGAAGAGGAGGAGGACGAGGAGGAGGAGGAGGAGAGGGAGAAGGAGGAGGAGGAGGAGGAGGAGGATGAGGAGGAGGAGGAGAGAGGATTAGGAGAAGGAGGAGAAGAAGGAGGAGGAGGCGGCGGAGGGGAGGAGGGAGGAGGAGGGAGGAGGAGAAGAGGGGAGGAGAGACGAGGGGAGGAAAAGGAGGAGGAGGAGGAGGAGGAGGAGGAGAAGGAGGAGGAGGAGGAGGAAGGAGGAGGAGGAGGAAGACGACAATGAGGAGGAGGAAGAGGAAAGGGAGGAGGAGGAGGAGGAGGAGGAGGAGGAGGAGGCGGAGGAGGACGGGCAGGAGGAGGAGGAGGAGGAAGAGACGGAGGAGGAGGTGAGAGGAGGAGGAGGAGGCGGCACCGCGGCCGCGCCGGTCGCGCCAGACAGGCCGGCCGCTCTGCGCGCGAGCCTGCGCGCGCTAGCGCGGTCGCAGCGACGTGCCAGGCAGCGCCTTCCAGAGGCGCCCGAGGCGACCTCTGATCCACCCCTCCCCCGTGGAGTAACTCTGGCGTGAACTCACGGGGCCCAAGGCGGCGACCTGATTCACCCATTCCGTGGAATAACTCCGGAATGAACTCACGGGGCTCAGGGCGGCGCCCTGATCCACCCCTCCCCCGTGGAAGAACTCCGAAGTTAACTCACGGGGCCCAGGGCGACGCCCTGATCCACGCCTTCCCCGTGGCTTAACTCCGGAGTTAATCCAGGAGGAGGAGACTGGACCGTGGATCCGCTTCCCTGTCTGTGGATTAAGTCCCGAGTTAATTGACAAGGGAGCCGGTAGCAGGATCCACTTTGACATGGGTTAACTCCAGAGTAAATCTTGAATGAACTACTGGCTTCATCCATTTCCGAGGAGAAGGAGGAAGAGGAGGACGAGGAGGAGGAGGAGGAGGATGAAGATGACGAGGAGGAGGAGGATGAGGAGGAGGAAGAGAAGGAGGAGGACAAGGAGGAGGAGAAGGAGGAGGAGGAGAAGGAGGAGAAGGAGGAGCAGCAGGGGCAGGACGAGGATGAGGAGCAGGAGGATGAGGGCAGAGGAGGAGGCGGAGCAGGAGGAGGATTAGGAGGATACAGAGGAGGAGGAAGAGGATAATCAGGACCATCGCACGGCTATAGGGGGGACTTCGGCATCGATTGGTGAATCGAATTTGGGCGGGCTGATGCCCCGCCTTCTCGAGGCAGCCTGAGACCTACGCACAGGCTGCGCTCATCATTCTGGAATCCGCATCCTCTCAGAGGGGGCTCTCCAAACCGCACAAGGGCAGGCGACGAACGAGAGGCAGCATACAGGACACTACATCGCATGCCAGCAGCTGTTATTCGAACTCCTCGACTCGCAATCTGAAAAAAAAAGTTGCTGTCTGCTTCTTGAGCGCAGGCTTCGCACACTCTCCACCTGCAGGTAAGGCACAGCTATGTATGTGTGTATATATATATATATTGGTGTGAACTGTGTGGCAAAGGGCTCACTGCACGTCATGCAAGGCTTGGATGCTTTGCCTCGTGTTGTTCTTCGCAGCGCGTGTCCGCGCGGGCACTGCCATGCCACGAGGCCGCCCCTGCCGATCATGGTCGAGCGACGCTTGTTGCGCTCGGCCTCGGTGAACTCCATCTCGAACTTGTTGTTGGCTGCGGTCTGGGGCAGCTCCATCTCCGTTTCAAGGCCCACCGTTGCGGCAAGCACGGGGATCTTGAGGCTCTCAACGTCGGTGAACTCCTTCGAGAAGACTTCCTAGGGGCAGAAGTCTGACTCGGGGTCCTTTGGGGCGACAGCCTCGCCCTCCAGCTCCTGGTTCACAACGTTGACGTTCTGCACGATCTCCGTATCCGTGTGCGGGCCGTTTTCGGCCTGCAGCTCCACGTACTCCGCGGCGTACTCTTTCTGATCGGTCTCCTTCGCGAGACCCACCGTCACGGCAGGCACGTGAATCATGCGGCTCTCGGCCGCGGTGATCTCCTTCTAAAAGAACTCCTCGGTGCCGAAGCCGACCACGGGGGCCTGCGGGGCGATTTGCACGCCCTCCAGCTCCTGCTTCGCGTCCGGGGCCGTGCTGATCACGCCCTGCTTCCCCAGATCTGAGTTGTCCTCGGCGGAGTGCACGTACTCCACGAAAATCCTCCACTCCTCGGCGGACCCTTTCACGCCCAGCGCCTCCAGGACGGCGACATCGTGTGGCACGAAGATCGCCGCATCTGCGCTGAGGGTGGGATGTGCACATTTCTCTCCTCTGCTGGCAATGGCCGCCTCCAACAAAGGAGCGGCTAGGCCAGCTGGCGCCAGAGGCGGGCCACGGGCCGTAATTACCAGGGGGCGGTGCGTGCCGCGCAGGGTTGCCCACGATCAGCAGCTCCTCTTCCTCGTCGATGAGGTGGCGCCCGATGCCCGGGAGGCGCCCCGCATCCACCGCATCGCGGAGTGAGGGCATGTGGTAGCCCAAGGCGGCGCTCAGGCTCCAGTGCGTGGTGAGCGAGGCTCGCAGGGCCTTAGCGCAGTGCGCCAAGGCCGACGCCCGCGTCTGAGCCGTCGCGCCAGCGTTCGCGCGCTGGCAGCAGCCCAGCAGCGGCCAGCAGAGCAGCCGTCCATGGCCTCTTGCGCGCCTGCGCCGAGACAGGCGCGCTGGCGAGGGCCTCCCGAAGCGCGGCTCGCTTGAGCCAAAATGGCTACGGGAGAGAAGAGGAGGATCAGGAGGAGGCGGAGGCGGAGGCGGAGTAGAAGGAGGATACTCAGCAGGGGCAGGAGGAGGAGGAGGAGCAGGAGAAGGAGAGGAGGCGGAGGCGGAGGCGGAGGCGGAGGAGGAGAAGGAGGAGCGATGAGGAGGATCAAGATGAGGATGAACAGAAGGAGGAGGAGCAGGGGCAGGAGGAGGAAGGAGGAAGCGAATGAGGAGGATGAAGAGGTGGATGATGATGAGGAGGAGGAGGAGGAGAAGGAGAAAGACGAGGAGGAGGGGGAGGGGGAGGAGGACAAGCTAGGTGCGCTCGCGTCATATCTGATGTCCTACCCCTCCCTCCCATCCCTTACCATGGCGCTGATTTTCTCTATCCGCGGACGCGTGTCGTAGCGGACCTGTGGCTCCGCGCGCGCGTGCGTAGTGGGTGGTGGTGCGTGCGTGCGTGCGTGCGTGTGTGCGTGGTTGTGTGGTGGTTGTGGTTGTGGTGGTGGTTGTGGTTGGTGGTGGTGGTGGTGGTGGTGGTGGTGGTGGTGGTGGTGGTGGTGGTGGTGGTGGTGGTGGTGGTGGTGGGTGGTGGTGGTGGTGGTGCGGCGCGGTGGTGGCGGGCGGATGGGCGCGCGAGAAAGAGGCCCGCGCTGGGGCGAGAACGCCATCCTGAACGACGGAGGCCAAACACCGATCCGAAAATGAGGCCCACGCTGCAGCGGGAGCACGATTCGGAACGATTCGGGAGCAGAAATGAGGCCGGCGCCTCAGCGAGAGCAGCATTTTGCAAAAAAACGCAGGCGAAAACCCAACTCCCGGGAATCATGAATGTAAAAAACAGTACGCGGGGGGGTCGGCTACTTTCAGGCCGCCATCGGGGGAAGAGGGAGAGTAGTATTCAGGTTGAGTAATTGTGGAGGAGGAGGAGGAAGAGGAGGAAGAGGAGGAGGAGGAGGAGGATCAGGAGGAGGAGCAGGAGGAGGAGGAGGCGGAGGAGGAGAACGAGGAGGAGGATGATGATGATTATGAGGAGGAGGAGGATGAGGAGGAGAAGGAGGGAGGTGAGGAGGACCAGGAGGAGGAGGAGAAGGAGGAGGAGGAGGAGGAGCAGCAGCAGAGGCAGGAGGCGGAGGAGCAGGAGAAGGAGGGGGAGGCGTAGAAGCTGAGAAGGAGGCGGGAGGAGGCGCTAGGTGGAGGAATAATAGGAGGAGGAAGGGGGAGGAAGAGGAGGAGGAGAGAGGAGGAGGAGGAGGAGGAGGAGGAGGAGGAGGAGGAGGAGGAGGAGAGAGGAGAGGAGTAGGGAGGGAGGAGGAGGAGGAGAGGAGGGAGAGGAGGGGGATGGACGAGGAGGATGGAGCAGGAGGGGGAGGAGGAGGACAGGAGGAGGGAGGAGGAGAGAGGAGGAGGCGGAGGACGGAGGGCGGAGGGGAGGAGGAGCGAGAACAATGATGAGGAATTGGGGGGACGAGGGCGAAGGAGGAGGAAGGAGGAGGAGGAGGAGGAGGGAGAGGGATGAGAGGGATGAGGAGGACAATTGCGGAAAGGCGGAGGAGGAGGAGGGACGAGAAGGCGGAAGCGATCGGAGGAGGAGAGGAAGAGGTGCGAGATGTGAGTGGAGGAGGAGGAGGAGGAGAGGAGGAAGTGGCGGAGGTAGGAGGAGGAGGAGGAGGAGGAGGAGGAGAGGGGAGGAGTAGGGTAGGTGGAGGAAAAGAAGGAGGAGGAGGAGGAGGGATAATGGAGGAGGAGGCGCGAGGGGGGGCGGTAGGAGGAGGAGGAGGTGGAGAAACAGGTAGGATCCGGCAGGGGCAGGCGGAGGATGAGGACGAGGAGGAGGAGGAGGGGAGGAGGAGGAGGAGGAGGAGGCGGAAGACGAGGCGCAGGTAGGTCACGCGGAGGAGGGGGAGGAGGAGGAGGAGGTGGAAGAGGAGGAGGCGGGGAGGTGGAGCAGGAGGAGAAGAGGAGGAGGAGGAGGTGAGGGGGAGGAGGCGGAGGAAGAGGATGAGGAGGATAATGAGGAGGAGGAGGAGCAGGGGCAGGAGTAGGAGGAGGAGGCGGAGGCGGATGATGATGAGGATGATGATGATGATGTTGATGATGCTGATGGTGATGATGATGATGATGCTGATGATGGTGATGATGATGATGATGATGAGACGGAGGAGGAGGAGGAGGAGGAGCAGGAGCAGAGAGGAGGAGGAGGAAGAGGAAAGGGAGGAGGAGGAGGAGGAGGAGGAGGAGGAGAGGATGGGGAGGGGCGAGGAGGAGGGGAGGAGGACGAGAAGGAGGAGAGAGGCGGAGGAAGAGGAGGAGAGGAGGAGGAAGGCTGAGGAGGATCTGGAAGAGGAGGAGGCGGAGGAGGAGGAGGAGTCGGAGGGAGAGGATGAGGAGCAGCAGGAGGGAGGAGGAGGAGGAGGAGGCGGAGGAGGAGGAGGAGAGAGAGGAGGAGGAGGAGGCGCAGGGGCAGAGTGGGAGGAGGAAAGGAGGAGGAGGAGGAGGAGGAGGAGGAGGCGGAGGGGGAGGGGAAGGAGGAGAAGGAGGAGGAGGAGGAGGAGGAGGACTAGGAGGAATAGGAGGAATAGGAGGAATAGGAGCAGTAGGAGGAGGAGGAGGAGGAGGAGGAGGAGGAGGAGGAGCAGGAGCAGGGGCAGGAGTGGGAGGAGGAGGAGGATCAGGCGGAGGAGGAGGTGGAGGAGGAGGAGGAGGTGGAGGAGGAGGAGGAGGAGGCCCGCGGCCCGTGTGGCGGGAAGGCTGCCTTGCGGGCCCACGCCTCCCGCAGGCCCGCCGCCCGGTTGAAGACCAGGGGCCCGCCGGCCTGCAGAGGCCGCCGCGCGTGGGGCTCGCGTGGGCGTGGCGGGGGGGGGGGCAGGCCAGAGGCCTCCTGGCTGGCGGCGCGCACAAGGGTCGAGCAGGGGGTCGCCTACAGAATTGACTTGGCCCAGACGTGAGACCGCGGAAGAAAACATCTCTGGGAGGGACAACCAACGACATGTCATAACGACGGCGGGGACGCCACCTGAGAGTTTATGCCGTGTTCGCGTATTCGCGTCTCCCTCACTCCATCCGCATTCCGAAACTGAATGATCAAGGTATGATTTTTGCGTGGGTGCATATTTATATACACATGCATCGACATGTGATTCCACATTCAGATCGACATACGTGCATACACATGTGCATGTATGGGCCTGCTGATATTTGTAAGACATGTGTACACGTATATATATATAAATGTATATATACAGCTATATGTGTATCCATAAATGTATGTATGTATGTCTGCCTGTCTGTATGTATGTATATGTATATGTGTGTATGTATACATATGTATATATATATATATATATATATATATTGGAGGTGAGGGGGTGAGATCGAAGTGGAACGGAGAGCCCCCCTACCAGGAAATCGGTTTCGGTTTCGTGGTCGTGCGTGCCGTGCGTGCGGGCGAGGCGAAGCTGCGCGGGCGGGCGAGAAGAAAGTCTCCTGTGGCTGAGGCGCGGCCTGACCAAAAGTCTCCCTTCCGGCAACCGGTGCCGCGCGGTGTCCCGCCAGTGTCCCGCTGTGGCTGGGGCGCGGCTGGACCAAAAGTCTCCCTTCCGGCGTCCGGTGGCGCGCGGTGTCCCGCCGGTGTCCCGCCGGTGTCCCGTCGGTGTCCCGATGATGATGATGATGATGATGATGATGATGATGATGATGATGATGATGATGATGATGTCGATGATGTTGTTGATGATGATGGTAGTGTGATGAAGATGGTGCCCCGATGATGATGATATTGACGATGTTGATGATGGTGGTGATGATGGTGCCCCGATAATGATGTTGATGATGATGTTGCTGATGATGATGGTGCCCCGAAGATGATGATGACGACGATTCGGATGATCCTGATGATATTGATGATGGTGACATGATGATGCGATGATGATGGCGAAGGTGATGATGATGTCCCGATGATGATGAGGTTGCTGAATATGCTGTTGATAATGATGATGGTGTCCCGATGATGATAATGATGTTGATGCTGATGATGATGGTGTCCCGATGATGATGATGTTGATGATGATGATGATAATGAGGTGATGGTGATTATTTTGATGATGGTTGCCCGATTATGGTGATGATGATCATGATGCTGATGTTGATGATGATGTCCCGATGATGATGCTGCCGATGGTGATGATGATGGTTACGATGATGGTGGTGTCCCGATGATGATGATGCTGATGCTGATGATGATGATGATGATGGTGTCCCGATGATGATGGTGCCCCGATCATGATGTTGATGATGTTGTTCATGCTGATGATGCTGATATGATGATGATGACGGTGGTTTTCCGATGATAATGGTGATGATGATGATGATGGTGTCCCGGTGATGATGATGCTGATGATGATGGTGACGATGATGGTGCCCCGCTGATGATGATGGTGATGATGCTGTTGATGATGATGTGATGATGATGATGACGATGGTGCCTCGATGAAGATGATGATGATGTTGATGACGTTGATGACGATGATGATGATGATGACGTTGGTTGTGAGATCGATTGTGATATCGATCGTGAGATCGATAGTGAGACCGAATGTGAGATCGATTGTGAGATCGATAGCGAGATCGATAGTGAGATCGATTGTAAGATCGATAGTCAGATCGATTGTGAGATCGATCGAATGAAATAGATCGAGTGAGATCGATTGTGATATCGATCGAGTGAGATCGATCGAGCGACCGATTGAGTGAGACGTTGGCTCCTCCCCCCCGAACCTCCTTATCACCCGAAGGGTGGTCGTATAGGTATGTATCTATATCTATATCTATATCTATATCTATATATATATATATATCTATGTATACATATATATATATATATATATATATATATATATATGTATATTCCTCTTCGAAGGCCCCGTGCACCAATTCGGCCCTGGGCGCTCCCACTGACGTCAAATTCGAAGTTCGGTTTCGGGAGCCTCTCCCGGCCATCCCTGGACAGTCCCGCAAAGCCCCAAGGCGGCCCAAGACAGCTCCAGAACGGCTCATGAGCGCTCAAAGAGGCCTCAAGGTGGCTTCAAGACGGCCCAAGATGCTCTCGAGACGACCCAAGAGGCCCCCAAGAAGACCCCCAAGAGGCTAAAATCGCTCCATTCCATTCGGAAAACGTACATGTTTAGCATACCCGCTTCTGTGGCCTTCACCGCGTCCAACACGGCCCAAGAGGCCCCCAAGGTCGCCCCGGGAAGGTCCAAAGAGTCCCCAAGGGAGCCCCATAAGAGCCCAAAAGGGCTCCAAAACGACCCAAGAGAGCCTCAAGACGGCCCCAAAGAGCACCAAACGGCTTCCCAGAGAGCTCCAAGAAGGCCGCAGGAAGCCCCCAAGAAGAACCAAGAGGGCCCCAAGACAGCCCAAGGCCCCCCAAGACGGCCCAAGAGGGTCCCGGGACGGCTCAGGAGGGCCGCCAGACAGCCCAAAAGAGCTTCCAAAGGAGTCCCACGAGAGCCCCGAGAGGCCATGCCCCTATCAGCCATATGGGGCCTGTTGGCCCCACAAGCCCTACGACCACTATGGTGCCTCATGGTGCCCCATGAGCCCTGTGAGGCCTGGGAACCCTAACGCCTCCAGAGCTCCCACCCCCACGCACCGCGAGACCCCGAGGGCCCCCCCCACTCATAATGCAGATAACGGGTGTGCCGCCACGGACTGTGCGGCGGCATGCACGCGTTGGCTCTTCACCGTCGGTGCAGCGGTGAGGCGGCATGCACGCGTTGGCTCTTCACCGTCGGTGGAGCTCCCTGTGGGGTGCGGTCCATGTGAGGGGACATTCGGCACACATGCGGTGACGTAGCGTTCTGCGGATCCCCCCAGGAAGATCGATCACAAGGGCCCCATGAGGGCCACGAGACGGCCGAAGGTGCCCCACTGCGAATCCTCCGTTTAGAGCCGCAGGTGAAGCCCGCTCTCCTGGGGGAGAGGCACACAAGGAGAGGAGAAGGAGCAAGGAGGTAGAAGGAGGGAGGAGGGAAACAGGAAGAGGCTGGACGAGAAGGAGGAGAATCCACCATCCAAACCCGACGATACAGTTCTCGACGTTTCTGCCTCTCGGGACCGTTTTCGGACCACCGGTCCAACATCGATCTGGCATCGGGGACCAGTTCGTCCAATCAGTCGCGCGAGCCGAGGAGGCCGAAAACGTATGAGCCCTATGAGCCCTATGAGCCCTATGGGCCCTATGGGCCTTATGAGCCCTATGAGCCCTATGAGCCCTATGAGCTTTATGAGCCCTATGAGCCTTATCAGCCCTATGACCCCTTATGAGCCTATGAGCACTACGAGCCTTATGAGCCCTATGCACTTTATGAGCCTACGAGCCCTATTAGCCCGATGACCCCTATGAGCCCATGAGCCCTATGAGCCATATGAGCCCAATGAGCCTTATGAGCGCTATTAGCCTTATGAGCCCTATGAGTCCCATGAGCCCTATGAGCCCCATGAGCCCTAGGAGCCCTATGAGCCCTCTGAGCCCCATGAGCCCCATGAGCCCCATGAGCCCTATGAGCCCTTAAGCCTTACGAGCCCTATGAGCCCCATGAGCCCTAGGAGCCCTATGAGCCCCATGAGCCCTATCAGCCCTACGAGCCATATGAGCTTCATGAGCCTGATGGGCTCTACGAGGCCCATGAACCCTATGAGCCCAATGAGCCGTTAAGCCCTGCGAACCCATGAGCCGCATGAGCCCTATGAGCCCTATGGGCCCCATGGGCCCTATGAGCTCTGTGAGCCCTATGGGCCCCATGAGCCCTAGGACCCCCACGAACCCTATTACTCCAATGTGCCCTAGGAGCCCAATGAGCCTCAAGCGCCCTACGAGCCCATGAGCTCTCCGAGCTCCATGAGCCCCATGGGCCTGATGGGCCCTTTCAGACCTATGAGCACTAGAAGCCCCATGAGCTTCATGAGCTCACGAGCCTGGAGCCGTGAAGCCTTGCGAGACCCATGAGACCCCCCTTCTGAGCCCTGCGAGCCCAGTGAGCCGTATACGGCCTATGGGCCCTATGAGCCCTATGGCCTCGACTTGCCCCTTCACCCCAATCGGCCCCAGGAGCCCTACGAGGCCTGAGCGCTCTGTTAGCGCTATGGGCCCTATGGCCCCCAGGAGCATTGCGAGCTCTATGAGCCCAATAGCCCCCAAGAGCTGATGACTCCAAGGGACCCCAGGACCTTTCTAAGCACCATGAGCCTCCTATGACCCCCATGGCCTCTAAAAAAGCCACTCAGCATTATGAGCCCCGTGCCCGATGTGCACAAACAGTCCCCAAACCCCAACGAACCCCATGAGCCCTGTGAACCTTGTGAGTTTCATGACCCCCTGGAGCCGCATAGGCAGCATTACCCCTCGCCTAAAATGGGTTTTTTGAGCCCCTGGGCCCCATGACGGCACAGACCCCTTCGGAGCTTTTTGAGCCACAATATTCCCTGGGTCCTATCAGCCCTGTTTGCTCCATGGTCTCCATGGCCAGAACGCGCCGCGGCTGTAACGACAACCGATCTCATCGCGCCTCCCTGACGCCATGCGACCAAGATTTCAAAAGGCGAGCGCAGCGAACCGGTAACATCTTGTGTATATGTATACACACATAGAACTCACCGCCCCCCCAAACGGTTCCCCCCCAGGGCTCATCCTCGTCATCCCATCGCATTTCCCATCATCGTCATCATCATCATCATCACCACCACCATCATCATCATTTGCATGCTCATGAGGACCAATATGAGGAGGAGGAGGATGAGGAGGATGAGGGGGATGATGATGATGATGATGATGCTGATGATGCGGAGGAGGAGGAGGAGGCGGATGAGGAGTACGATGATGATAAAGGTGACATGAGGGAAAGGATGATGAGGAGGTGTAGGATGAGGATGGTGATGAGACTAATGATGATGGTGGTGATGACGGTGACGATGATGACGATGATGATGGTGATGG